TAATAATTGTAAAAGCCGGGTCTGATGTACAGTAAAATTTTATTGCGGCCTGACGACATAAATATCGTCGGTCGTGAAAAATGCCTGTGTCCGTGTAAACTTTTTCAATTTATAATTTGTATCCGAACATTATTCGTTTTCCGTTTATTCTTTTAATAATAAATCTACAACCGACATACAGGTTTAGATTATTATTAAACCACCAACCTCAGTCACGTCCTGGCCAAAAAGTCTAGCTATTTAATCCACTTCGGGCAGCTCCAGCCCGACCTTGACCGTTTTCTGTTGGTAATGGTAATGATCCTGATTTCTTTCTTCAACGTTCTTGCATCATGAAAACCTATCGTTCTCTCTCGCTACTGATCAGAGGAACAAAAGCATTAGCCAAAGCAGCCAAAGTACCTATATTGTAAAGTTTATATTATTATAGTAGCTGAAAGTTCAGTTCCAGTTCGTTTTAGTTTCAGCAAGAAAAACATTGTTTCGGTTATAACTACGATATTGACCAAAATCAGCGAACGGCGAAATCGAAATCGTCGAATCAAAACGGAGGCGAAACTTATGGTTTGTTTCGTCCATTTAGTGAATGGATGCTTCATCGTCACCAGCTTATTTCACGGGTCAACGTTATTCACTCAGATTATTGTACGATAAGACTACTAATAATAATTAATTAATCGATATACCTACCTATGTAAATGGTACCTACCTGGTGATATAAAAAAATATTTCACTTTATTTTTATTGCGTTTGTTTCTTCAATAGGTATCATAAAAAAATGGATGTAGTTTTTTCTATTCCCTCATACAAATAAATACAATATATATATATACTAAAGATGTAGTACAATGCGGGGCCTATGGGTCTATCTAATGGCTAGTGATCCTGATTGAGGAGGGAAGTGTTTTCTCCTGGGATAGGGCCTGATTAGACATGGTGTCGATTCGTTGAGGACCTGAAATAACATAGTCCAAGTCCTCCTAAAGTAGGGCGCCTGAGGCGCTACGTCGGGGTGGTTTTTTGTTGAATCTCCACATACTCTCGGCTCCTGAGTCCCCGATAAGCAGGAGATCGAAAGGGATTTTCCACCCCGTCAACAAAAAAAAAAGAGTAATCCTGACTGTTAATACAGGGGTTCGATTCCCACTCAGCACGATCATTTGTTGTGTCAGGATGAAAATACACATAAAAATATATTCATAAGCAGGTTGGTCACCATAGGCATAGGTCTGCACAGTTTAGGATAGAAGGGCGTGTGTGAGATGCGTGAGTTCGTTATTATAATGTATATTATCTATAGGATATGTCTACCAGTTCAAATTCACCCAAATTGGGGGACATCCTAACCTCTGACGGGAGCGCATTTCATTGTAATATAAAAAGCATACCTACCTATAAAAAAATAGAGAAAATGACGACACGCCTCCACTTTTCAACATCTTACAAGCATAGACCGCTATCTGTTGCCAACATTAGGAAATAAAAGTTCCCAGAGCAATATATAGAGGCAAGTCAGTAAAAAAAAAATGAATGAATTTAGAAGTATGCAATTATTTGGTTGCTTTTCACGGCATGAGTCAGGTAACCAGAGCCTAAGCCCTTCTACTCATCATTCTAGAGAGAGGGGCAATTCGTGTCCGTGTGGTGACGGATTAAGAATACAGTGTCACCACCACCATCACCTCTATTCATGCCTTGAGTGCTGTAAGAGGCGACTAAGGAAGCAAACTACGCAGGACAACAGCACTGCAGAGAGAAGGAAAACTTGATACAAAAGCTATACCAACCCGTCTGGCGAACGTGGTATAGAAGGTCAAATCCTCCGTTCTAAGGAGAAGTTTATGTCATGCAGTGGACTATTAAAGGCTGTTGATGTATGATGATGATGATGGGCACTCAAAGAGCGTCAACGCACTTGTGGCTCTTGAGTTGCAGGTGTCCTTGGGTGGCGGTAGTCACTTACCATCAGGTAACCCGTCTGCTAGTGTACCCCCTATTCCAAAAAAAAAAGTTTATTACAGCCCTAACATTTCTGCTTAACTTATTGGCATAACCAGGAACAAGAGTAACCAATCTTCAGTGACAGACAAATCAATAATAATAATAATAATAATAATATAATTTATTGTCTCAAAAAGATACATACAGTAAAAACACACATAAGTTACAACAATTCAACATGTACAATAGTTTTGTTGACCTCTGGTACCCAAAGTAAGATTTAACTTGTGGTATGGGTACCAGGGCTCTCGTACTTAATTGCAACAGGTAGTTATTGTAGAAGTGTAATGTATCGTAGTTGCATACGCATGAGGTGGATTGCTTAAGCCTTAAGGTAGAAATAACCTATAGAAATAGATATTAATATTATAATAATATATATCGCATTATTATATGTTTATATACGAGTATTTTATGTTACAAAGTCTGTATGTATGTTGGTGTGTGTGTGTGTATGTGTGTGTGTGTGTGTGTGTGTGTCTTTGTATGTGTGTGTGTCTGCGTATGTGTGCGTGAGGGATGCATTAGAATTATAGTATACTTAGTTTAATCAAATTTTCTGTATCTTCATAAAATTTGGACAAGAGCCATATGGTAACTCGTTTCTTGCATTGCGATCTAGTCAATGGATAGATGTCACAGTACTCATTAGCTACATTATATAAGTGACAGCTTACGACATTGAAGCTGCGCGCAGCTAACGCACTTCTAGAACTTTGGGCTTGGCAGACCTTTCGTGCACGGCGCTTTCTTGTGACTTCAATGTCATATTCCAGACCAATATGTTTTCTGCAGATTGTTTCAAGCACAAAGAGCTGTCTGACAGTAAGCAGTTCACATTCGTGATATAATTGTGCAGTCGAATATCTAATAGGCCTAAAAGTCATTACCTTAAGGACTGCTCTTTGTGCTCGCTCCAGGGGCAGAAGGTACGATTTCACAGCTCCACCCCAGATAGATATACAATATGTTAAAACAGATTGACACAGTGCGTAATAAACTGATTTCAGGGTGTCAAAATCAGCTGCATAACGCAATTTTTTGAAAATGTATATCATCTTGCGGACGCGGGAAGTTACATTACTCAGTTGGTATTTCCATGAAATATGACTATCAACAAATACTCCCAGATACTTTGTGTGTGCGGATCTCAGTATAGTTGGACAGTTGCAGGTATCAGTGGATGTGTATGTCGAACAAGTATGAGCTCTTATATTGAAGGTTTCCAAAGGTGGTTGAGTTTTAGCTGTCTTTGAGAACGTGATGTAAGTAGTTTTCTTAAGGTTAAGTGTAAGAAGATTGTTAGATAGCCACTGCATTACACGACTAAGAGCGCATTCTGCACGAGCAAACACTAATGGCCAGTCTGAGCCACGGACAAGTATTGCAGTATCGTCTGCATAGGTAATGATAGAAGAATAGGGAAGGGATAAGGTGCACAGGGAATTTATGTAAAGGAGGAAAAGGGTTGGACCAAGGATCGATCCCTGTGGGACACCAAAGAGAAGGGGCTCGCTGCTACTAACAATGTCGTCTATCTTTACACACTGTGTCCTATCAGAAAGATAATCCTTGAAAATTCCGAGCGCATATCCGCGGATGCCCATTCCCTCCATATTCCGTAAGAGATGTGGAACAGAGACAGTGTCAAATGCTTTGGTAAGATCGAGAAATATCGACAGGCATTTCTGTCCATTTTCGAGGCTGTTTACTATTTCATCAACCAGAGAAGCCACCGCGTCTTCAGTCGACATTCCTACCCTAAAACCAAATTGATTCGGCGCTAAAATACTGTTTTTCTGTAAAAAATTTGTTAAGCGGGTGTTTAGCAACTTCTCTAGGATTTTGGACAGTGCAGGCAGGACAGATATGGGCCTGTAATTATTGACACTGTCTCTGTCTCCACCCTTAAAGATGGGATGCACAACAGCCCTCTTAAAAGATTTGGGGAAAATCCCCTCAGCCATAGAAATATTGCAAATGTGGGTTATTATTGGTACCAAGGTGTTTGAGCACTTTTGCAATAAATGAGCAGGTATCGCGTCCCATCCGACAGCAGCATCTTTACGCAAACTCCGTATAATTAATTCAACCTCCGACTCATCCGTTGGCAAAAGGACCAAAGAGTTAGCATTAATGTTATGATTTGGCAGTTGATTATTTTGTATGTTAGAACTAAATTGTAATGCTAGGTCACTACCGATGCGGGAGAAGTACTCATTAACACGGTTTACAGATGTCAAATTATCTCTGTCTATATTTAAAAGTCAATAGAATATTAAATTAAAAAACTAACTTGGGTCCTTGTTCCAAGATAGCTTGGTGGCCTCCAAGCAACATACCAGATTTAAGTGGAAACAGACTCTAGTCCATCTCCCCTTTACATCATTAGAGCATCCAACAAAATTAAATGGTATAAATATGTTTGTCTGAAAATAGTGGTCATGGCAGGCACACTGTAAACTACACAGCCAGAAACAAGACTCTGTGGATTATTTTGCGAAGTATACTTGGATAGATAAGGCCAAAAGATAAATAAGGTTGAATTATTAGATTATATAATTAAAAATATATAAATATTTGTAAAATCTAAATGAAGTATTATTATCCTGCTTTTCTTCTTAAAGTGTAGTAGTAGCTTTATGAGTTAGTAACTCAGTCTAGGCAGTAAAACATTTTTCAATCAGAATGTAGAAAGGAAGTTTTGGCCTACTATACCACCCTGACTAGAATTAATTTGATAGATTAGGCTAGGTTGATATATTTCAATCATAATAACAGATTAAAAAACTTATTATCTAAAAATAAAAGATTTCACCACATTCAAAAATATATTTTTTAATGACATCATTAAAACTCAAACTCATAATTGAACCTTATAATCTAATAGTACTCACATAATAATCAATAAATCTAATAGCAATGTAGTTTTAAATTTAATTGTCAATTATGTTCTAAGAAAAATATAGTTATTGTAAGTATGCTAGTAAAATCTATGATTAATAAATACTAGTTGGAGGTGGACCTCCATACAAATGTTTCCATGACACTGGTTGAATCAATTTCTTATAAAACTCAGGCTCATCAAACAATGTAACAACAGAATTCAAATAATGAACCATTTCATATGCATCCGGAATATTATCACCTTCTGAAGAGAACTTGTATATGATTAAACATGGTACTGATTTCTGATTGACTATATCATACAGCAAATTTGCAAAACCTCCTCCAATAATTGTTACTGATTCCTCTTTAGGTTCATGTTCCACCCACTCCAAACTTTTCAATTTATTTTTGTAGGGGCACATTTCATTGACTACATATCGGAATGGTGATGTCATAATATGCCTTTTCTCGTGAGCAAAAGCACTAGTTAAAATAATAACATCCTTTATGTTATCAGCTGTAAATTTATCCACCACTTCTGTTAAAAACTGCTGTGAATATTTTTGCACCAATGGCGCTCTTAAGAGAAGGATAACTATTTTGCGCGTCTCACAAACATAAACTTCACAACAGCTAGCGATAGATGTAGACTCCAGCTTGTAAGGATCGCATCCCGCTACCGGGACCAGCGCAGGACTGTATACCATTGCTATTTTTCTCATGAATAAAGAAGAAACGACCAGATCACATGCAAGTTGGCCCACATTGCCAACAGCCACACTTGGTATAACCAGAGTGTAACCACTTAAATCACAATTACAAAGTATTTTCCAATGATTACTTTGAGCCATGTTTCGAAAACTTCAAATTTTCCGGCTTCACAACCTCCAAGGCGTAAAATAATGTCCCGTCATGCCACAGATAACTATATATATATTTTTGTTTTGTTTATGGCAACTAGTCAGGGACGTCATGCGTAATATAAAATTAAGTTCATTCAATTCATTCTGTCTGTCACTTTGACAGATAACTGTTAATCCAAAATAGACAGTGGACAGTAGCACACAGCTCAATGCACATAGGGATGCAACATCGCTCATAAAAAAATAGAAATAAGAAAATCGATGTTTTCCAAAGTGAAACATCGATGTTAAAAACATCAAAGTTTATGAACGATACATCTATTTTTTATGGATTTCTTTTATAATTATTTTTTTTAAAAGAAATGAAACAACTAAGTATGAAAATCAAATATTATATTTAGGTATATTCTTTAAAAAAGAAGTTATATTCTTTAAGACAGTTTTACACTACTTATTTTTACATTTTTATCGAATAATTATTGATAGAAAACAAGTATCACTCAAACGTTTATTTCTTTAAAATAGAATTTAAAAATAATAATTTTGACAACCTGGTTCTCAATAAGCGGTTTCTTTCTTGGCACCAGCTTCTGAGAATAACCGCTCACTAGGTACCGAAGTTGCCACGATAGGCAAATAAATCATAGCTAGACTATGAAGCCCGGGAAATAACCCCTTCCTGTCGTCCTACATCTCCAACACATGTCCCTTTATAGGAGTGACAGGTGAAGTATTGGAATATAAGTAAAAGTCCCATAGTAAAGTAAGATGGTATTTAATTAGCAGTAAGAAAAGCCCTAAGCATGTCTGCCGCGATACAGTACTTTTTCGAGAACGAACCACAGACTACTGTCCGTCTACCACTAAAGTGAGCACAGGGTATACATTAGTTTACCATAGACTAAACACACATTTAATATCCAATATGATGACATAAACATATGAAATTCTGTTTCTGATTTAGTTTTGTCTTTCGTTTTATTTTTTATGTTGTAGTGCGTCAATACTTTCTGGTAACTCCATATGTCACTTTCATGGGGGCTGACATCGGGTGAGGCGGAGCGACGAAGCGTGATCAGGGCCTCAATTCTGCTATTTTATGTTCACGCCAAGCCACTGTCATACCCCTGACACGCTATTGAGATGCCATCGAGTGGCCATTGGCATCGGTATAAATATCGGTAGTCTACACTAACTCAGTGTCTTTACAGTGGCGATGGAATGGCAGTGGCTCATCAGTGGTGATATCAAAAAGATTGCAATATTTGGAAAAATAAATAAATCATTTTCTTATAATTTGAAACTATATTACGTTTTTTAAATAAAATAGCAGAATTGAGGCCCAGGTTATGTACAATATACAGTGCCGTCGCGCTCAGCGTTTATTTTTAGTTTTTTGTTTATTTTTTAGGATCGCCAACAAACGATACATCTTTCTACAATAATTAAAAATTATACAAAAACATGCCTTGTGCTCATTTAGTTATAGACAATCACGACTAACATAAGTAAAACTTGTACCATTATTATAAGAAAAAATAAGCACAACAATAATAAAAAAATATTAGCTAAAAAAAGAAAAAAAGAAAGTGTTTTTTTCATCAAGAACCACATATCACGGACTATTCAAATCCCATAATTATATAGGTGAACTTTTTGCTCCCCCCCAGCTTAGACTCAAGATTGTCCACGATTTTTCTCTTCAATTTACGTTTGCGCGTTGCGTTTATGCTGCATAAAACCGCTTACGCTGCGTCGCTGTACCGTTTCGCCTGCTGTCTGTTGCAATCCTTTTTTTTTTTTTTATAGACAACTCCCGCTTGGGAATTTACAAACATTTATATGACGGACACAAAGGACACCCAGAACCAGAACAACAATTTGTGGATCACACAAGCACATTCAGCGCTGCAGGAAGAGGAGAGATGGCCGCTTTTACCATTACGCCATGCATAAAGTATATCAAATATAAATAAAATACTTACAGTCGATGAGAATCAGTAGGCAATCTCTTCGGGACATGCAGTAATCCTCTGTGCGCACAATCAGCCGCCGACGCTCTGCAACTACAGGCCCAGGGGCAGCTGGCGCCACGCGTGACGTGAGCCGCGAACAGCAGCAGACCGCCGGACACTGCACTTTCAGTATTATCACCTTTTTCCGATTCGTCAGAAGACTCATTTGCCGCATTAGTTAGATTACTCATTAAGTAGTAGTTTATGTAATTTATGACTTTTCCCTTCGCTGTAGCATCTTTAAAATGAATAACCTTGAACCGAGGATCTAAGGCGGTAGCAATAGCCAACGATGAACATTGCTCTAGTTTGTCAAATCGCAAATTTTGTTGTGGTGACATCCATCGGTAAATAACTAAAACTTACTTTCAACCTTTTATAATCAAACGAAAGTTACAAATGTGAGTGTAAGCGCCATCTATTGGTATCTACTCACAACATCTTCACACACAACAAACAAAACAATAACCGTTGACTTGATACAGGCGATCGAAGCAACTATTGACAGTTGTGACTGGGAGAGGTATCGTTATAAAACATCGCTCATGAAGAACGATGTATCGTCGATGTTTTGAGTTTCAAAATCGATGTTTATGAACGATATTTCGATTTTTGAAAAAAATCGATGTATCGTTTGCATCCCTAAATGCACACAGCATTCACTGACAATTCAAAATATAAATACTACAGTGCTGCCAAATCTTGAACACGTTCCCCATAAAAAAGATAAATGATAATCACCCAAATATGTGCGTTAAATGATCGATTTGTGATGATTAATTACAATATTTCAAATACATATATATTGAAAATCAATTCCAAATTTTCAGAAAAGTATTAGTATCAGAGAGGCCTGTCCAGCAGTGGACACTAAAGGCTGTTGATGATGATAAGCATAATTTATCAAATTCACTGCAATGAAAAGAATGTGTTTTATGTAGTAAATTGACGTGTGTGAATTTAGTAACTGTACTTATCTATGCTAGTTATAGCTAGGAAAACTAGGTAAGATGTCAGTTTTTTTTTGTATTTTGAATACTTTGACTTGTGGGATTGACAGGATAGATAATGTAATAAATATAACGATTATCAATCAGAAAGAATATAGCAAAGCACAATTGATTTACAGAACGAACTAGTTAGATTTTAACACTATATTTCTTAACATTGAAACGGTCCGTTTCAGAAAACCTACCATGGCCAATAACGGGCCCGTAACTTTTTTGACAAATGAATGGTAAATAAATAAATAATAACTTGAATGAGTCAATGAATGGTAGCATAACTTCGTTGCTGCGGAAGAACTTCTGTGATCCTCGTCGAGTCTCGTCACCTCACGCTTTTTTATCGATAAAATATTATTTTTCTCAATCACTGTATTTGTCTCTTTGAACTGATTTTTTTTTTTTTCTACTTCTTAGTTAGTCTAGTTACAAAATATTCTTTTTTTGTTTTTGGCATTGAGAAAAGTTTATTTCATATTTTAGTTTTTGTAATAACTTTCTGGCTGGGCAGGGCAGCCCTTGCTAGAGATTACCAATGGTTAAATTGGTTAATATCTAATATAAACTGGCAACTCTGTTTCATACTTCACATTACTTCATTGGTCATCCAAGGAAAAGAAAATTATGATTTCCATGTTCCGACTATTTTATTAGATTTTAATGCACTAAATGTTTAAGTAAGCTACGAATGTTTGTAAACACAGCACAGTTTAAGTTATCTACAGTGGTATTATTTATTTATTTATACACTGATTATGACTGAGCAGGAAAAAGTTGACCCACAGCTGGAGACCTTTATTCTATCCGAAACGCAGAAACAACGCTTTCAGGTTAGTAAAACTGTAAAAATTGCTAAATTCTTTATTGGTAAATGCTGCAAGCTCCCTTCAAGGGTATTATTTATAGATAGCTAATTACAAAACGATATGCTTTGTTATCGACCTTTGATCCATTATCCATGCATACATTTGCACATTTGTAATACATATAAGGTATATTAATTTTGCTTTTACCAGAACTGTTGTTTCCAGAGTCAATACTAGTAGTCTAAATTATTATTTTACATGTATTACAGGTTCTTGTTCACGGGTTAACGGACACATGCTGGGACACATGTATGGGACACCCAACTAATCGTCTAGGTTCTAAAACAGAAGTGTGCATCATGAACTGTGTTGAACGATTTATTGATGCCACAACATTTATCACAAAACGTCTTATGAACACAACAAAATACCGTTCTGAAGCTCCACTTGAATTCCAATAAATTAAGTGTACCAATTTAGTAGTAAACATGTTAGCCAGTGTTAAAGACTTTCTGCGCCGTCACAAACGAAAGTTTATAGTGACTGGTGCCGTTTTTGGTGGCTTATATTTACTGACAAGCTATGCTCAAAAGAAGCTCAGAGAATGGCAAGAAAAAGAGGCAAAAAGATTCTTTGAAATGACTCGAAAAAAGCAGCACTTTGAGAGTACAGAACGCACTTGTAATCAGACTATTCTGTCATTGTCAAAAATTGTGACTGAAAGTATTTTGAGTGTATTAAACACTGAAGAAATAGTTCAAAAATTGCAAGAAAACCCACCAAATAAATTGGAATTATGGGAACAGTTGAAAATCATGATATTTACTAGAATTTGTGTCCTTGTTTATGCATTAAGTATATTACAAGTGATATTACGAGTACAACTCAATATTATTGGTGGTTATCTATACAGAGACTCTGTCCATGAAGAAGATCCTCTCATAGACAGTAATTTGCAGGCCAAATACTTGTCTCTATGTCACCATTTTGTGGGTCAAGGTGTAGAGGATTTGGTGAAACAGATAGAAACTGTTGTAAAAAAGGTTGTGGAACCTATGTCCCTAAAGAAAAAAATGACACTACAAGAAGTAGAACAAATATTCTGGTCTATACAAACTATTCTGTGCACAGATGTTTCACATGGAGATCCTGTCAAAAATATGGTGCACTATCTGCTGTCTCATACAGAAATAAATGATGGTAAATTAGATACAATTGTAAAGGAAACTATGGATGTTTTAGAAAGTGAGGAAGTTGCATCTATAGCTATGTCGTCAGTAAGCCGATGTTTTTCTTCTGTTATTGACGAAGTGGCCAAACTTTTTGCAACAAAAGATACCACGGTGACTAAAAATCATTTGGAATTGAATGTTAGTCATGTTATTACCAATGGAGCTTTAAAACTAGGAGCAAACCCTGACTCTTTTGTAGATGTAAACAAAGTAGAGCTATACTTTGTAAAACTGCTCCCTGTCATAAATGAACTTGTTTCAAAGAATATGTGTAAGAGTAACACAAACATTCCAGATATGTTAATACAACAACTTACTCTAAATGACAAAATTAAGCTTTTAGGTGCAAATATTTATGAAGTATTTAGTAGTCACTAAGTTCTATCATAACACATTGCCAATATTTCATTGAATAGTAGCATATACATATTTAGAATAACTTTTTTATGCAGACTATGTAATAAATCTTTGAAGTTAAAGATATATGCTATCAAATGTTTAATTTTCACATTTAGGTGTCTTGGTAATTAAGTTTTTGTATTTTGTGCATTTGGGAAACAGTAATAAAAACTAATAATAACCTTTGTTTTATTTATGTTAATTAGTGTTCTTCGCCTTTAGCTACATCTGTGTTAGAATGGAGCATCTTCATTTTAATGTTATTATGGCTTAAGCACCTAGAATTATACAATACAATTTAATAATTTTACAATCCTGCGTTCTGGTAATTTATGAGGCAGTAAGTGATAATACTGTGTTTAAACTACAATGGTCTGACTAATTGCTTGGGTGTCTGTGAGAAGTAGGTATATAATTTAAATAGTGAAGATTTTGAATTCAGAGAAATTTATTTGAGCATATAGGAGCAAATACAAAGAGGAGAGGGCATAAGCTACTGCGCACTGTGATTCTAACTAGGTCCTGACGTCATATCAGTGGACGTGGATTAAATTTAGTTCACAGCGTCCGTACTGTCCGCACCTGTGTCGCAAAATCAGTATATTTTCGTAGTAGGTATTAAGAAAAAAAGGATAAAATTTTGTATATTATCTTGTTAAAATTATTCGGATAGACGTTTTGTTGCTATGGATGGCATCACATTTCATTTGTAAGTAATTTTATACTTAATTTATAAAAATAGTTCTAGAAAAATCTCTTAGTGTTTTTTGATATCTAGTTGCATCTATTCATCACTAGATGACTGTTTAGTCATTTTTTTCATTATAGTCATTTGTGTAAAGGAAAAAAACAAAACAAAACTAAAAATACAAAGGTACGTAGAGCCTAGTTATAGTAAAAAAAACGGTCAGGTACGAATCGAACTCGTGCCCCGAGGGTTCCGTGCCTACCCAGATTTTAAGTAGACTCGCGAAAATTTATCTCTTAATTTTCAACTTTTTTTATTTTTTGGAATTATTCCTTTAGTTGTGCTTTAAGACGTTTCTTTTTGCCAAATTTCGTGATTCTAGGTCAACGGGAACTACCATGTAGGTTTTCGACCCAAAACCTATAGGGTACTTCCGGTTGACCTAGAATTGTCAATTTTGGTTACCGCGCTAGTAAAGAGAAAATTCTGAAAAATAAAAAAAGATGAAAATTAAGGTATATTTTTGGTACTTACAAGTTTTTGCAAAAATCGAAATTTGCCCATATCTTTTTATCGTGTTGACTCAGGCCCTTGATTTATATACACCTAATATAATAGGGACCATAGACCTCAGTATCTGGTATAAATTTCAACTTGCTAAGTCTACCCGCTCCTGAGAAAATCAGTGGTGACACACGGACAGACGGACAAGAAAGTGATCTTATAAGGGTTCCTTTTTTATCTTTTGAGGTACGGAACCCTAAAAAATACTGAAATTTGTCCTACCTAGAATCACGAAATTTGGCAAAAAGAAACGTCTTAAAGCACAAATAAAGGAATAATTCCAAAAAATAAAAAAAGATGAAAATTAAGGTATATTTTTGGTACTTACAAGTTTTTGCAAAAATCGAAATTTGCCCATATCTTTTTATCGTGTTGACTCAGGCCCTTGATTTTTATACACCTAATATAATAGGGACCATAGACCTCAGTATCTGGTATAAATTTCAACTTGCTAAGTCTACCCGCTCCTGAGAAAATCAGTGGTGACACACGGACAGACGGACAAGAAAGTGATCTTATAAGGGTTCCTTTCTTATCTTTTGAGGTACGGAACCCTAAAAAATACTGAAATTTGTCCTGCATTCAGTCTTAAGCAAATTTTAATCGCCAAAATAATATGTTAAATTTTTTGAAATCATTTTGTGAACAAACTATCATCTATCGTCAACTAGAATAAGACACATAAACAGAGGGCCTAGTGTAAGTATATTTCACATCGACTCGATTGTCATGGTGACCGCTTTTGGCGCTGTGATTGGATCGCGCTAAAATCTTTACTAATCGCCGAACGCGCTCGCTGTCGAGAGCGAGTTGATGTGAAATAAACTGGTAGGTACTTGGGCCTGAGAACAAAAAGAAATCATAATCCAATTGTAATCCAATAAAGTACTTTTAATATGGATATTCTTTTAATATCCGTGTGGTGACGGATTAAGAATACGGAGTGTCACCACCTCGATTCATCCCGTGGGTGTCGTAAGTGCCGACTAAGGGAGCAAACTACGCAGGACAACAGCACTGCAAAGAGAAGAAAAACTTGAAACAAACCCTATACCAACCCGTCTGGCCAGTGTGGTATAGTATCCCAAAACCTCTTTTCTAAGGAGAGGCCAGAGGACAAATTAAGGCCGTTCATTCAATATGAAAATGAAGGAAATTGTACTTGGGCTGTTTTTTTGAAATGTTAAAAAATTAAGTGACATTCTAATTGAATGCTCCCTTGAAAGGAATTTATCAAGATAGGGATTTCATAGGGATTCCATAGGGAAATCTAATTACAACACCTCTTCGTATTGGCTCCGTGGTCATAAGTTGTCATAAGTCAACCTGAACAAATCAGGCCTATGCTCAATTAAGGCCTGTAGTTTCGAAAGTTATTCAAAATAGATTTACGTCAAAAATACTTCTCACACACATCTATAGACGATAGTTCCACTGATCGACAAACTGCGCTAGAAGTCCTCTCGCATGCACTGCGACAATGAAAGGCGGTCGTTTGTAAAAGATGTTGTTGATGTTGTTTTTGTAGCGCGTGATTAATGTAACTTTGTTTTATCTGTTTTGTTTCGAGCAATGAATACAGATCACAATTTATTTTATTTGTGATTATTTTATTTAATGTTATTTATTTTATTTATATTTAAGAAATTTAAAATGTGAAAATATAGCATAATAGGATATCATATACCCAGAGTAGTTACAGTAATTACTTAAGAATAATTATTACTTAATAAAACATATACAATAAGTGATAATGATACTAACACACGCAATACATAAGTATTTACATACACATAACAATTACATATAATTATGTGTGTATATATATACTACTCTGTCAAGAAAGTACCGCGAAAAGATCAGTAATACATAAAATGTTTGTTATTCATCCAAATTTATTTTATCACCTTCAAAGTATGCTCCTTCAGAAACGATACACTTACGCCAACGAATAATCCAATCATCAAAACATTTTTTAGACGCTGTTTCCGTAGTTGAGTTCAGTTCTCGCCGCGAATTCTCCTTTATGTCTTCTGCCGATTGAAAACGGGTGCTACGAAGTGGTAATTTGAGTTTAGGAAAAAGAAAGAAGTCGGCTGGAGCCATATCTGGTGAATATGGTGGTTGCTCGATGGTATTTGTTGAGTGTGTCAAAAATTCGTTCACAATGATGGCCTTGTGCAAAGGCGCATTATCGTGGTGCAAAATCCAAGACTTTCCTTTTCACAAATCTGGCCTTTTTCGTCGAATTTGCTCTTTTAAATGACGCATAACGCTCCGTACTTAGTTGAGTTTTTGGAAAAATTCAGGTCTTTTGGGACTAGCCGAGCGGTATCATGTTTCATACCCAAATGATTAGTTAAAATGGTACGGATCGCCTCGTGAGATACAGAAAGTTCGACGGCTATCTCTCTCAAACTTGAATGATGATTTTCAGTCACTATTTCCTTCACTTTTGCGATGTTAACTTCAGTGTCAGACGTTGATGGCCTACCAGAGCGAGGGAAATCTTCCATCACATTTCGACCGCTTTTGAACGCTTTGTACCACTCATTAGCACGTGTTTTTGATAAAGTCGATTCACCGTAAGCCTTCTGTAACATTTTCAGTGACTCCGAACACGAAATTCCATTGGCGATGCAAAATTTAAGACAAACTCTTTGTTCGATGTTTTTGTCCATTATGAAATTCGCAATACACACTAGATATGATATAACTAAAAACAACACTGTATTTAATATAAATAACAGATGCAACTCAAACTCCGCGCCAAAATGGCAAACAGTTGTGCCAATCTAACAACAACAAAAAAAAAACGAAAAATCGAATTTGGAACCATAAACAAATCATCCATTCCTGATACTTTTTTGACTGAATGTATACCGACATAATAAATTCTAGAAGAGAGAGTAAAAAATTAAGGTAGATTTGATAAGGTCTCCTCTAAGGTGATTACGTCTCCTCCAAGACCGAAGTGTGCTACGTGGTCCGTAGACTGTTTGAGAGCGGTAGTTTAATGATCAATAAAATAGAATGGCAGCACCGGCCCACGCACACATGTTTATAAAACCTGCGTCACTTCGTTCTTCGCAAACATAGAGCAACACGGTACTGCGGTCCGCCGGTGGCCTGTGTTGCTCTATGTTCGAAAAGTTCCATCTTAACTTTTTTATTTGCATTGAGCTTACACCGCGAAATAATTTCTAAAATAGGTTATGTACGTATTCAAAATAGCTATTGCATAAGACTGAAGCACGAATGATGCGTCTACTGTCGCAATGTTGTTGTAACTCTAAATTTATTTTTAACGAGGGTATTTTAAAAGCAACATTTCCTTGTGTCAATCAATCTTAATCGTTTAGTTTAAATTTCATTAAGCCCGGCCAAAGAGAATAGTGTGGCATAAGCATATTTATAAAGTTGTTAAATTAACCCGTATAATTAAAATACCTAAGTACACCTAGGTATAGGATATTTATAATTGTCGACTTTACATTCAGGGCATATAAATTTACTTTGAAATTAGTCTCTTTAATATCGGATACTCGAGCGGGAATTGGCACAGCTACAGACATTTCTTAGAAGAGGCTTATGCTATGCCCCTTAGTTAAATCTCTTATGAATTTAGACTACAGATGTATGCAAGGAACAGTTAACTTCGCCTAAATTAAAACAGGTGTTAAGAAATTCTTTCGTTCATTTGAACGGAGCGAGTGAGAGGTTATCG